TCTAATACTATTCTTGCATATATGACAAAAACATCCACTAATTATTTTTAATTTACTAATTTTTTTAATTTTTAAACTTTTAGAACTAAATTATTATACTTTTAATATTTGAGAATTGATCCTATAAATATTTTATTCTCACATTAACAGAGAGTTAACAAATTCCATTAATTTAGGGGTTAAAATCTTCAAACCTTTAAGTTCAAGGGCAAAAACTTCATGGTACAAGATGAGGGACTAAAAACTTTAAATTTATTAAGATAAGGGGCTAAATGCATATTTTAACCTAAAAAAGTTATAGTAGTTGTTACAATCAAAGGAAATGTTAAATTAGATAAAGATATTAAAAAATAATTGCTATACCATCTCATTCAACAAACTCATCAACATTCACTGGTTTAGCTATTAAAATTTGTAGTTGTAAAATTTCTTGTCTTGAATTTAATTAAATTTAAAAAGGATAATTTCTTAATAAATATATTATGAAATGTGTTAAATCAGATGGTGTACGAATCATTGTTCAAAGATATTTTCAATTTCACCTGTAGAAGACTAATTCACAATGACAAATTTTCAGAGGAAAAAACTATAAACCAAAAAGGATGGAATCATGCAACTCAAAATCTTCCTTCTACACAACTCAACTTTTGTAGGAAAGACATGCAGGAAAAAAGGGAAAAAAAGGAAATTTTTTAACTGTAAACTTTGAAATGCAAATTGGCCATGCAAAATTCCTAAACATATGTAAAGATGTATCCTCTCAAACTTGAAAGATGATATTGTTATTCTAATGAAACTAATAGAAGAAGAAGAAAAACAAATTTACCAACATCACTTAATTTTGTTTACAAAATCATTGCAAAATTATTGGTGAATAGATTGAAAGGTGTTTTACCTAGAATAATATCAAAGAATCAAGCTACTTTTGCTCCACCGAGAATGATTCAGATAACATTTTAGTTGCCCATGGAGCATTTCATTATTTGAGAAGGCAGAAGAAAGGAAAGGAGGGGAAGTTGGGATTAAAAGCGAATATGTACAAGGCCTTTGGCAGAATGGAGTGGGATTTTTTAGGGCTCTTTTGGTAAAGATGGGCTTTAGTGGTAAATGGATTTCCTGGATCATGGAGTGGATTACTATTGTCAAGTTCTCATTAATCATCAATGGTAAATAGATGGGAACTGTTGTTCCAGGTAGAGGTATAAGGCAAAGAGGTACCCTTTCTCCTTATCTGTATTTGTTGGTGGCTAATGTGCTTTCAAAGATGATTAAGAAAGTTGCTAACCAGAAAACAATAAAGGGTATCAAGTTGGCTAGAAGCTACCCTGTTCTTACTCATTTGTTTTTTGCAAATGATTCTTTATTCTTTACGCAAGCTAATATGAGAAATTGCCAGGGAATTGCTAAGATTTTTTAGGCCTGTTGTAGAGCTTCTCGTCACTCGGTGAATTTTGAGAAATCTAATAGGTATTTTAGTCCTAGCACAGACAACAGAAGAGAAGTGATAATAGTTCAGCCTTCAATATTCCTAAAAATGATAATCCAGGGAAATATTTGGGCTACCTACTCTTTGGGGTAGATCTAAATATGAAGCTCTAAAGTTTGTGGTTGAAAGCGTGATAAATAAAGTGAAGGGGTGGAAGCAGAATTTCTTATCACCCAGTGGCAAAGAGATTCTTATCTAATTAGAGCCTACTTCTGTGCCTGCATATCCTATGATGATTTTCAAGTTTCTAAAAAAAGACTTGTATCTAAATTAACTCAGTCATTGCTAGATTCTAGTGAGGGCAAGTTCAAGATGAGAGGAAAGTTCATTAGCAAAGCTAGGACAGTTCATTAGCAAAGCTAGGACAAACTTAAAATGAGTATATTTCAAGGTGGATTGTGGTTTAGAGGCATTGGAGATTAAAATGTAGCCTTGTTAGCCAAATAGTGTTGGAGACTTTTACAATATCCAGATGCTTATTAGGTGAGGATTTTAAAAGGAATATATTTTAGAGATGTTTCTTTTAATGGAAGCAAGGAAAGGCTGACATTCATCCTGGGCATGGAGTAGTTTAATTGCTAGTAGAAATTTGACAAAAGAAAATATTGCTCAGCATGTTGGTAATGGGGAAAGAATTAAGGTATAGGGAGATAAGTGGGTGCCTGGAATTGACAATATGAGAGTACGAAGTTGTAATGATACCCCTCGAAATGATTAGTTACTAGTTTCTGATCTAATTGATATAGAAGCTGCATGCTGAAACTTGGAGCCCATTGCAAGATAAGTCTCTCCTAATATAGTTGAAGCTATTAAAGCCATTCACATTCTTTCAGGTGAACAAGATGACACTATGGTAAGGCCTTGTAGTAAGAATGGGGAATATTCAATTAAAACTAGATATCATCTAGTACACTTAACAACTCTACATAATAATGGAAATATCTCTAGCTCCTCACATTTTATCTCAACTAATGCATGGAAAATTATATTTCTGCTACGTCAAAGGTTATTTCTTTCTTATGGAAGGGTTTCTCTAATATTCTACCAGTTATGAGCAATTTATTCATGAAGAGGGTGGTTCAAAGACCTATTTGTCTTATATGCCATCAATATGAAGAAACTATGGAGCACTGCCTTTTTTATGTGGGTACAAGGTGTGTGGTTTGGAGGACTTTTGAACTACAAAATTGATAGACAAAGTCTATCCACTATTGATGACTGGTTCCTGGTTGTTTGTGGGGATAAATCTTTGTGCACTGAGGTGAGAAGCTTCATTGCTTCTGTCTGTGCATATACATGTTGGCTGATTTAGAAATGTAGATGTGAAGAAATCTATGAGAGAAAGGGGATTAGTGGTTTAGGAACTATTGAAAAGGTTTCTGGTTTGGCTATTGAAGCAGAGAGAATTGTGAAAAAAGAGAAAAAGTGAAATAGATGAATTCCTTGAATAATAAGATCTGGGAGCGACTAGAGTAGGGGTATGTGAAAATTAATCGTCATGGATCAATTAAACTACTTGATTTGGGAAGAGCTTTTGGGGTTGTGGTCAGAGATAGTGAAGGTATGCTAATATGTGGTGGTAATGGAATAGCATATGTTAATTCAACCCTTATGATGGAGTAGTTGCCTTATTAAAAGGAATACAGCTAGCTATAAAGATGAATTATAGTTTAGCTGTGTTTGAATTTGATTCCAAAGACTAGTTCGATTTTATCCAAGATGATACTATTGAACTCCAAGTGATTTTGATGATAACAAAACCCTTTAAGATGTTTAATAAATCTGAGTTCAAGTGTGTAGTTAAAACAATCTCAAAATGCATCAAGGAAATCGAGAAAAACTACAGAACTAGGTTGAAGAGTCAAATATAGGACTCTATATTTAACTCTTATAAGGCAAGAAGATTTGACTCTTGCCTATAAATTCAACCCTAAAACAATTTGTGAAGAAAAGGATCAATCTAGTGAAGAGTTGAATCTCCAAGTCCATGTTTGAGTCTCGGACCTTCTAATTTCAACTCTCAAACATGAAGAGTCGACTTCCAATTCCAGAGAGTTCAAGGAAGGCTAAGGCACAATGCATATTCGACTTTTCATTTGGAGAATTAGTTAATATGTGACTTTAATTTCCAAGATTCAACTCTTGGCCTGGAGGGGGAAATTTTGGCTAAGCTCAAAATTTCTTCAAGAATCAACTCTCAGTTTGAAGATCGAGTCGAATCTAAACTTTATAGATTTGGCTCTTAGGTTGCAAATTTGACTCTTAACTATAGAGTAATAGCTAGTATTTCAATTCTAATGCATTTATTGAGCATTTAATGCATTTCAATAGTCTCAAATGGTTAATTTTGATTAAAAGAAATAAATATGATTGGTGGGAGTATTGAAGAGTATTTTAGACACTTTTATTGAATATCTTTCACCTATCAACTTAAAAATCTTTTACTTTAACTTTTGTGAAATTGATTTTTAAGTGATTTTTATTTGCAATTCTCTACCTACTTTTTTTGAGAGATATTTTGAAAATGTAATTAATTCCTTCAAAAGTAATTTGTAATAAGGATGGTTAGATTTGCTTTGTAAAAATGTGTAATTTGTGAAAAAATTCATTTCTTGTAAAAAGGTTGGGTGGCCTTTTTAAGTTAACCTTATACATTTTAGTGGAGAGCAAAGAGGAAATCTTTAGTGAATGAATCCTAACTGAAAAATTAAGGATCAAATGGTTAAACTAAAACCTAAAAATCTGTGTGCGAACTTCTCCTTGTCAAAAGTTGCCGCATCGATCATCCACAACCTCCAATATGATTCCACCGCTCTCCTACTGGAATACATTGATCGAAATTAAAATGAACAAAACCCCAATTCCCCAAAAATCCCAGTTATCACGAATTCAAAAAAAAAAAAAACCCTCGAGTTTTCCTGTTAAATGCCGATAAAACTGATCTTAGTTATTCAATCGGAATGGATTGAAAAAACTTGAGCCCACTGAATTGAAGGATTTGGAATGCGATGCACGATAATTCTCGATTGAATGATTGATTGATTGAATCAGGGTTGTTCGAGAAGGGATTAAAGTTTCAAATTTCTGTTGATTGGATTCAAGGAGATGGGAAAACCACAGAATTGAAACTGAAGGAGTTGAATTGAAGTCTTGAAGAAAAAGGGGGAAGATGGTTGGACTGGATGGATGGATGAACATGTCAGTGTGTGAGAGTGGAGGTGAGTCACTGACGTTGTTTCAATACCATATCCATAAAAAAAAACAAAATGTTGAATTATCTTCTTGTTAGCTTCTTTAAAAGGCAAAACCTAAAGTTCACCAAGGTTTCATTATTTATTTTTTTATTAGGTTCTATTATTATTTATTAGTATTGCAATCTTTATACTCCGACCAACCTAATAGTTAAGAATATTAGTAAATGGGATCACTTATCGTGAATTGCATATTTAACTTTTATAGATTTAATTTTTTCTATCTCTAAAACACTTAATATAATATGTACTAATTACTTTCATTTCAAAAATATTATTTATTGATATTGCAATGATAGGACCATAATCACTAAAGCAAAGGACAGAAATGATAAAAAAAAAAAAAAAAAAAGGGGGGGTGGCTGAAGCTGAACATCAACAAACCTCATCCATGTTCATAAAAGCAGCAGTCGAGGGCAATAGAGCTTACATCAACAAATCAAAACGAAATTCAAAAAACGAAAAAGAAAAGAAAACGAAAAAACAGAACCTGAAATTCCTATTACATAGAATTAGACATGTTAAGGGCACAAATAAATTAGCTTAGCTCAATCAGAACTCATTGGACAAAGGTGCGTGCTCTGAGTGCATGAACACATTTCCATAGATAAGCCCAGCCAGCCCACCACCGATGAGAGGGCCAACCCAATAGATCCAGTTGTCATGGAAGTCTCCACTGGCGACAGCAGGCCCAAATGAGCGGGCTGGGTTCATGGAACCGCCAGAGAATGGGCCGGCAGCTAAGATGTTGGCACCAACAATGAAACCGATGGCAATGGGTGCAATGATGCCTAATGAACCCTTCTTGGGGTCAGCTGCTGTGGCATAGACGGTGTAAACCAGGGCAAACGTGATGATGATCTCCATCACGACCCCTTCAATGGCGCCAACTCCAGCAGCAAGGCTGTGGATTGGAATTGGCTGCAAAAGGGGGAACTTAGACCGTGTGGCCAATACGACAGGAGTTAAATTTGAAATGGGGAAATTTTAGAAGCTTACCAAGCCCCCTGTGACAGCCTTGAGGAGGAAGCAAGCGACGATAGAACCAAGAAGTTGGGCAATCCAATAGAAGATGCCAGTGAGGATGGTGATCTGGCCACCGAGAGCCAAGCCAAAGGTGACAGCGGGGTTGACATGGCCTCCAGAGATGTTGGCAGCAACGGCAACGGCGACAAAGAGTGCAAAACCATGGCAAATGGCAATTGCCACCAGCCCTGAAGGATCAAGAGCCGCATCTGCTGTCACCTTGTCTGCCAAAAAGAGGATTAATTAAAAACCTAGTTAGAAAACATGTGATTTTAGTGGAACTAGCTAGAGAGCGTTGCAAGGGAGAGCGATTAGAGTACTGACTGTAGGCTATGGCAGAACCGACACCAGCAAAAACAAAGAGCAAAGTGGAGATAAACTCAGCCAGATAGGCTTTCAAAGTGCCTAAACTAAAAGAATCATCAAAGCGACCAAAGGCAATTCTGGCCATCTTTGGAAAGAACAATGGAGGGAGCTGAAGAGGAACTCTCTAGAAAAGGAGGAAGATGAATGATCCAGATAGAGCACGAAAGCCCTTTCTAGCTCACTATATTTATACACCATGAAAATGATACATTATGGTTACGGGCTTATTAAATTAGTTCATGGCTAAAATTTCATGGAGATATACTTCACCCAAAAGGAATATACAGAAAGGTACAAAACAAAAACATGCATATGCTATTAAGGAATTTTGCCTTGTTGAAATTTTTATGGAGTCCAAGCTGTCATGGAGTGCTTTATTAGAAGTGTCGGGAAGCTCATCAATGATATGATTCCTCCATGTGACAAAAGAATAGTGGGTGTGATGGGGTTGTGTGTGAAAAAAGAAAGTGGAAGGTGAAGATGGGGCCATGAGTCATGAGAACTTGGCTTGGCTTTGGGCCAGAGTTTACCGACCGTGTGACAGATATGTGTCGAAGGATGTCCTTATTTGAAAAATGTGTGGATAGAATTGAATGTACTGTGTTGGAGAGGATATCATATACAACACTGTTAAAGGTTTTGATCTGGATTGGTTAAGAGGAATCTTATGCAATTTTGTTGTTGTTCCCTTTCTACTTTCTTGGCTTACTTGTGCAGGGCTCTCCCAAAGTTGTTAGGGTTTGATTTTTTCTGAAGTCTGGTAAGTAATAATTACTATAGTAACAGGAGATAATTATTATTATTATTATTATTATTATTATTATTTTGCTTTAATTTGAAACTCAAATAATTTATTTGATAGAATAGCATGTTCTATTAGGCTTTCTTCCACAAGTTGAAAAGCATCTTAAATTGCTTGAAATTAGGGCTTTCCTGCTGGAGAATTAGGCCATCAGAGTCTGGAATAAGTCATTATATGAGCATCAATTCAGTAAATCACGGCATGAATGTGAATGCCCAGTTTGGGCCATTATTTAGAAGGATACAAAACTAATAATTGTACGTCACTTCTATAGATGACAACGACTGCTAGTGCAGCTTCTTCTAACAGAATAGTTTCAGTGACAAAGGTCATCAATTCAATTTCAAGCAGCTCTGTCCTCAGCCACAAAGGACATAAAATCTTACTATATGGCCGCTACATCTAGAAAACAAATGTACGTTTATCCTGCTCGGTTTTCTTTTCTTTCATTTTCTTTATTTCGATGTTAAATAGTAGACATACTCTTTTAACACCACAATAATTGAGAGCAATTGCATCTCTAAACAAAACAGGAATTAAGTCTCTACATCAATTTCTTCAGGATGTAAGCTAGGAATCCTATTTTTGTTCTAGACTTCTAGAGAATCAGTCTACTTGCATGTTTTCAGGAAAAGGTATTGAAGCGCAACAATGATAATATCCATTTTCATCAAATACAAACCTTTGAGAAAGATGAGCTTCACGGATGAGATACTCCCCCCAATCCTCAGATCCAAACTGCTTGAAAATGCCTCGAGCATCAAAGGAATCATTTTTCTTCTTTCTATTGAATTTATTCCTGAATTTTTGTACTTCCATGTATTAGCCATTCAAGAAAACAAGTGCAGATGCCAATAAATCATAACAATCATGGAGTGCATGAGACATGGAGGCTATAAAAAGCAGCAGAGGCAAAATTTAAACAAGAAAAGGGAGGAACGTGAAAGCACCTTTTCCTATGCCTTGCATTCATCAGCGTGGCATGCAACTGCAGTTCAACAAGACTGTTAGCATTAATACATTGATTGGAGAAAAACCCACAATAACAAAGCAAAACAAAGAGCATATAAACAGAAAGGATAATCAAAAAATGCTTGATGTCTAGCTCGAAGAGTTCTAGATTACCTCTAAATTCTAACATCTGTACAGCAAACCTACTTCTTATGCAGCATGAATCTCCATTTATCAAACACCATAAAACAATTTAGCAAGCAATTTATACATTAGGCTTTACTCGGTATAATATTATTCTGTTCAATTGAATATTACTCTCCATAATTTAAGGATTTGGCTTGTTGATTTTTTCCACGTTTTCTTTTACCCTTCTACAATGGAATCCATTCTTTACCATTTCCTCATTTTGACAGTCTTATGCAAGTAAATAAGGCTAAAGAACAAAGGTGGAAGGAACTTATGATTGACAGCTCAAGTCTACAAGTCTGTTACAGCAGAAAAAGTACAAAGCAAGTATGCCATTCATGTTGCTCAAAAAAAGTGCATCATAGCAACGTAGTTGAAAGAGTGTTCACAATGTAGTGGAAAACATCATACCAGGATGACATATCAAAGAAAGGGAAATTAAAGATCAAATATTTTACCTTCAGCTTCTCTTTAGCATCATTTTCCAAAACAAGCCCAGCCTCAAGAAAAGAGTCAATAATAACTTCTAAGAAAGATCAAGGAATTCATAAGAGATTAACACTAATAAAACCAATGGCATTAATTAAACAAGATAAGCATGAATGTGAACTTTTCTATTTCTACAGAAAATAAAGAATAAATATTATAACTTAGAAAATTAGGATACGACAGGCATGTAACAGGCGATCCTCACTGCCAATTTCTTCTACAGGAGCATAGATGACACGGGCTTTTGCCAAAGAACCTCTCATGCAATCCTGCACAGAGAGAAACTTTTAAAGTGCTCTGCATTGAGAACT